GAAACAGGCTCCAGGCTCTGAGCCATCAGCCCAGAGCCTGACGCGGGGCTCGAACTCCCGGACCGCGAGATCGTGACCTGGCTGAAGTCGGATGCTTAACCAACTGCGCCACCCAGGCGCCCCATAAAGTATAACATTTCTTACATCAATGAAATATATAGATTTTACAATATAAATAAATAATTTATTAAAATTAAATTCAAATACATTCATAATCTCTTGTTCTGTGTAGGGCATGATGTTAGGCCCTGTAAAGGATAGAACAATGAGTAAGGCATAGTTCCTATCTTTGAGAAGCTGATTTCAACCAGAATGTGTGACATGTGCATAAACATAGATAACACAGAGTACACATATTAAGTGTCTTCAGTGAGTTCGAGTCCCACATCGGGCTCTCTATTGTTAGCACAGAGCTCACTTCAGACCCTGTGTCTCTCTCTCTCGGCACCTCCTCCCCTCTCAAAATAAATAAACATTAAAAAAATAAAGAGGGGAAAGGTAATATTCAGTTGTGGTGAGAAGTCAAAATGCCAGAGTGATGGTGAATTTTCAGTGCACACGGAGAGGGAGATCTTGCAGCTGGAAGGGATAAAAAACAAAAGACAACAAAAAAAGGAAGATAGAGGCAGGAAAAATAGAACATGTTTTAGGAAAGGTAAGCAGTCCACAGTGATTTAAAAATAGAATGGGGGGGCACCTGGGTGGCTCAGTCGGTTAAGCAGCTGACTTCAGCTCAGGTCATGATCTCACGGTCTGTGAGTTCGAGCCCCACGTCGGGCTCTGTGCTGACAGCTCAGAGCCTGGAGCCTGTTTCCGATTCTGTGTCTCCCTCTCTCTCTGCCCCTCCCCTGTTCATGCTCTGTCTCTCTCTGTCCCAAAAATAAATAAACGTTAAAAAAAAAAAATTTAAAAATAGAATGGGGGGTGGGGAGCCTGGCTGGCTCTGTCAGTAGAGCATTCACCTCTTGATCTCGGATTTGTGAGTTCAAGCCCCACATTGGGTGTAGGGATTACATAAAAAATAAAATAAAATAAAATAAAAAATAAAATAAAATAGTAAAAAAATTAAAAAAATAAAACAGAACAGGAATACCAGGTATAAGGTTAAAAAGTAAAACTGGGCCCATGCTTTGGAGAGTCTTAAAAGTCCAAGTGAAGACTTTATGTGTCATTTTGTAGATTATGAGGAAACTATTGACAAATCATCAGTTGTGCTGTAATCCATTTGAAGAAGGAAAAATCAGAGGTTGGTGGGAAGTAATGAGAATCTGAACTGGACTGGTGGTAGAGGGAATAAAGAAAAAGGATGGATGGAAGACACATTTCAGAGGCAAACTCTACAAGACCGGCAACTGAACATAAGAGACAGAGACAGAGAAGCCACTGTGGTTTCAAGCCAGGGTCACTGTAAGGTGATGTCCTTCAGAGAAATAAGGATGACAGGAGGGTTCAAGCCCAAGTACTGGTTTAGACAGGTTAAGCTTGAGGTCCTAGTAGGCCTCAGCTGGTGAAGTTCATCTGGCAGTAAAAAATTTTAGCCTAGAAGGCAGGAGAGAAGGCTGGATGTAAATTAATTAATTAATTAATTAATATTTTAGAAAGTGAGAGAGAGAGTGCAAGCAGGGGAGAGGGACTGAGTGTGTGTGTGTGTGTGTGTGTGTGTGTGTGTGTGTGAGAGAGAGAGAGAGAGAGAGAGAGAGAGAGAGAGAATATCTCAACCAGGCTCCACGCCCAGAGCTGACCCGATGTGGGGCTCAATCCTAGGACTCTGGGATCAAGACCTGAGCCGGAATCAACAGTCAGATGCTCAACCGACTGAGGCATCCAGGTGCCTCCGGATGTAAATTTAAAAAGGATGTCCTGGGGCTTCTGGCTCACTCAGTCAGTAGAACACACTGATCTCAGGGTCGTGAGTTCAAGCACCACACTGGGCATAGAGCTTAAAGAAAAAAAAAAATTACAAACAAACAAACATATAAACAAATAAGTAAAAGGGAGCTCCATAAGCTGCAGAACCTGAAGTATGATTCTGTTGCACACCTTAAGTATCTAGACGTTAGGAGGAGGAGGGGAGCACAGGATCCGAAGAGCTGCAAGTCAGGAGAAATACTGGCATGGAGAAAATGAGTGTGGGTTGGGGACCTGAAAGGTCATGGCAAGGGGGAAATATCCAAGTTAGGAAAACACTGCAAAATACTATAAAGGAAACATGAAGCCCTAATTGGGAAGTGTCCACAAAGCTGTGCTTTTCCATACAGTGCATTAACTTAGGTTATTGAGGGGAGGGGGGTGTTTTTCCACTGCACTTTCTTTCAGTAACCTTCTCTTATTAAACAAGATGACCTACAAAATCTCTTCTAAACCCGAATTTCATTATTGTAACTTCCTTTCTCACACGAAAAAAACCTTGGCTTAGGAAGATGGATGCATAGATACGTATTGGTTGATCGACTGATGTATTTGTTTATTTATTACTAAGAACACATCACCAATTTACAGAATTTTAACTTTACGACCAACTATTCTGGACAAGAAAACTGGTGGAAACTTGGCTACAGTAACTAGCTCTCTTAAAGGTTTTTAAAGTTTAAGGAGTTACCTTCAGAAATGATCTCTTGTGTTCCTGTCAGTGTTCTCAAGGCTTTGGAGGTTCTGATTATATTTGAAGCTGGAACATCAGGAAAACTTAACTGGCTAAGACAGGACTGACCAGTAAGTGTTCTGTTCTGCATTGCAAACCTTAGCTCAGAAAGCACTCTGAGACCCCTTTGTAATGCTGGGAGTCGGGGAGGGGCCAAAGAGCTTGAACCACTGAATCCCTCCACCAGGGTTTCTCAGTAGGGTGCTGTCCGGCACGGCATCGTGTGGGACCCCTCGTTGTCATGCAGAACACCTGCCCATTATGGGATTGGAGCGTCCCAGGCTCTTGTCCACCAAGTGCCTGTAACACTCTCCGTGCACTGTGGCAACCACACATTTCCACTGGAACCACCCCTGCTAATTCCACCTATTGGCAAAGCTTGTTTGCATTTCCCCCAACCTCTTTCTCCCTTCTCTCTGCATTCCTCTCTCTCACCTTCCCTAGTAAGCATCCTTGCTCTCCCTAGAAATTCTGTGCGTGGGTTTTCATTGACACTCCAATGTGATAATGTAATGATACAAATCCAAGATGGTTCCTCCTTAGGGGCACCTGGGTGGCTCAGTTGGTTCTGTGTGTTGAGTGTTGGACTTCGGCTCAGGTCATGATCTCAGGGTTCGTGAGTAATAGCCTCACCGTGGGCTCTGTACTGACAGTTAGGAGCCTGCTTTGGATTCTGTTTCCTTTTCTCTCCACCCCTCTCCTGCTCGTGCACACATGTGGTGGCTGTCTCTCTCTGTCAAAATAAATAACTAAACTTAAAAAAATAAAATAAGATGGTTCCCCTTTCAGTGGGACTTCCATTTTAGTAGGCATGGAAACCAGAAGCTCAAGGAGAGAAGCTTTATTAGTAGTATTTTGTTTTATTGAGGTTACATTGACACACAGTAAAGTGCAATGAAGTATACAGTGTGATACATTTTATCATATGTATCACCATAATCAACATCTGTTGCTCCCTGGCTGCACTGTGGCCTGGAAACTTTGTCAAGGCAGGAAGCTGGAGCAGTTGTTAGGTCTCATCTTGTTTGTTTTCCTACCTCTCAGAGATGACTGTCTTTGTTGTCCAGTGTCTAGTGTCTTTTTAACAACATTTCTTTTTTTAAAATATTTATTTAGGGGCGCCTGGGTGGCGCAGTCGGTTAAGC